AACGCTCATCGACTCTGGCAATCTGACTTTATGGAATCCAACAAGGTAACTTTACTCCTCATTTTTTTTTACAATCACGAATATTATGATCACGACCCTCCCCAACTCTCGCAACCCTCAAACGGGCAAAAGATAACCCCAATCTAATTAATGGAATCCAATAAGATAACTTCTTATTTCCGATGGTGCTGATCACTCATTAGTATCGGGGTGACAATATCATACAGTCCTTCAAAAATCCTGTAAAAGGAATAATAAAACGTTTATTCGAACATGTAAAAGTTAATATAGGCTTTGGCTAAATCGAGGGGGTTGCGAAGGATGGCCACAGATCTGATCATGTTGTTCGTCATCAGCACCTTTGAAAATAAGAGTTGAGGTAAGCTACCTTCTTGGACTCCATACAATGAGATTAAGGGCAGTTTGGGCCCATTCCAGATTGGTTTCGTAGATCCAACAAACAAGCCATTTTTGCATTCTTTCACTACACAATTTAATTCAACATATGTAAGAGGCTGGAGCTACTTATATTAAACATATCGAGGCAGTTATTTTAGTAAATTATAAACAGTTCTGGTAATTTATTTGCAATAAAAGGGGACTGACTATATCTTAAAAATGAAATTTATCTTTATGCGCCTCAAGACATAGTAAATGGTTTTTTCTCACAATCAGTAATTTTGCTTTAGTAGGTAGCTTTCTTTTACTATAATGTCTCTAATGTTCTCTAATCAAGTTGATATAAATAAATCAATCGCAAAATTTAAAAACAAGAAGACAGCTAGACATGAATTTGATCCTCAGTTTTGCAGTTAAAGATTGTTCCATGATTTTTGTAGCTGCTTTGCTAGTTATATTCAACTTATCGTGAAAAATTAAACTAAATAAAACTATTTACTAAACACGTACGAGTTTCTTACTTATATCACAGACAATATAGCTTGAGCGAAGCTATATTATCTGTGCTTATATTGTCTTTCAATACAAAATTATTTGAAAATATGAGCTTAACCAAAATTAACGTAAAAAAAAGTAGCAAAAAAATGCATATTTACTTTTTATCCTTTATATAATTTAGTTTAGTTTTTAAATGGGGATTAAGTGGGGATATTTTTATTTACAAGTTAAACGGTGAAAATAACTAAATTATATTGTATTTTGTATATGGGGTGGTCTGTATGACAACAAGTTACTAAATTTGCAAGTCGTTCAAAATACGTTACTAAAAATTATTTTCAAAAAAGATTTTAGATATTCTACAGAACTACTGTATAAGGAATTATATATATTCAATATAAGAAAATTATTGCACTAGATTGCGTACTGAACAGTCTGTTCAAGTACCATTTTATGGTAAATCTCATACCCAACATTTTGTATTTTTTTATGGACCGGAATTGTTTAATAAATTGCAAGTTAATGTAAAAAATATTAGTAGTAGGTATATATAAATTCAAAAAGACAATAAAAACTCTCATAAGAGAAAATCATAGTTCAATTGAGGATATATTTAAATAGTAAAAATTGTCTCTATTGTTTTGGACGTTTTAATTTTATCTAATATAACAAATCTATAAGTATTTTGTTCTTCCACCTCACTGGACTCCGCTGGACTCAGCTGTTTTGTTTAAAATACATTGTTTTATATAAATATTTATTTTTCTATATTCATGTACAGTATTGTTTTTTTCTTTATTTTTCCTTTGTAATTGGACAATAACACAGCACAAGTTATTGTATAACTTAGGTGTATTGTCCAAATTCATTTAATATTTTATTAAATTTACATTTTAGAAATGTTTTTTTTTTGCTTTGTTGAATTCTGCTTTGAATAAACTTACTTACTTGCTTGCTTGCTTGCTTGATTGATTGCTTGATTGCTTGCTTGATTGCTTGCTTGCTTGATTGCTTGATTGCTTGCTTGATTGGTTGCTTGATTGCTTGCTTGCTTGATTGCTTGATTGCTTGCTTGCTTGCTTGCTTGATTGCTTGATTGCTTGCTTGCTTGCTTGCTTGTTTGCTTGCTTGCTTGCTTGCTTACTTACTTACTTACTTAAAAATTATGAACAAAAATAAAACATATTTTAGAATGCAAGATTTCTTGTTACGAAGAAATAAGTTCCAATGTCTTGAGTGATTGGGTTAGTTAAAAGGATTGTTTAATGTAATACAATTTTATAATATATAAAATAGTTTTCTTTTCTAGTAGTCTTTTTATATATTTCCTTCAACTGCACTTGCTGTTTAAATTTACCATTACAGTAATATAAACTTTACACCTAAGCACTCTAATGTGCTATACTTAATGCAGGTATATAGGGTGATTCAGAACTTATCCAAAAAAAAAAATTCTGGATGTACAGGGGACCCTTACAAATACAATTTTGTATAGAAAAAATCAAAAAGGTCAGTTCAAAATTGATTTAAAAATACTCTTCTGCACGGCACTGGAAACTGGTCCACTGTAAAACCTGAATGGACAAAAACTTTCGCAAGGAAAGAAATATGTAAATAGAATTATATCGCACCTATTTTATATCGGCTAATTCAAATGCTTTTGCCTTTTTATTAATAAAATTAATTTGTGTTTTTAAATAATAAAATCATTTGACATACCCGATGCTGCAACAGCAATTGTTCAAAATTTTATCCACTCACGTGTAAACACATTTGGGTCCGTCTTACTCACTTTCTACGAACTAACACAAATGATGTCTTGTTTCACCATAACACAAACGCTTCACCATAAATTAAAACGATATCCATCAACTCCGAGTACACGCAAACCACTTTTGACACTAACTACCCATTTTTGACACCAACTACTAAAAACATATTATAAAAACCACATATAACAGGTAAATATCGCAATGACGATTGCAAAATCCGAATTCAGTATTCGGAGTCGATGAGGCCACGTGGCGAATGATGCTAGAGACAACAGTTGTCCAGCTATGTAGTGGTTTAATGTGCTATAACTTCAATAATTTTTTTCTCAGAAACTATAAGGATTTTACAAATTTTGTTTTTACAATATTGACTCCATTTCTCATGCCGCATCTATTCCCAATTTTTTTTTTAATAAGTTGTGAATCACCCTGTATAGTCATGTGCTCTCATGGTGCGCAGATCACTTAATAAAAATATTAACCTATATGTTTTTGGCATATATATTATAATTGAATGAAATATCATAAAATAATGGATCATTTATAGATGGATCATCGTCGATCGGGTAAATTGGTCTAAACTTTTTTATTTTGATACCCAGGAATTGGTGCAGATATAAGGTTACAAATAGTTCACAATAATTCTATATTTATAAATGAGAAATAAGTAACCAAACTATAAAAGTTTACTATTTTTTTATTTACTATTTATTTTCTAAATTGTCTGAAAGCTCATTGTGCACAGTAAGAACAATCAAGGACAACATGAAATTAAATATAATACATAATTTCAGTACTATATGTTTCTTCAATAGAAAATTCAAATAGCTCCAGTTGTATTACTTTGTAGTACGTGGTGCAATTATTTCCGTAATAGAAAATCAATAAACTTCTCTGGGATTTCCATTTGATAAAATAATGGTATACAAATTTTTATTTACGTGCCACTAATTACTGCACAAAACTACCCAATACGTGACTGAATGTATAAAAAAATAACAGTATTTTCTTTCAAATAAGTATGTATATGAAAATCGAGTTATTTTTTTTTCATTGTTTTAAAAATAATTTCTAAACAACTTATCTTTATTTAAAACCAATAGGTGTAGGTATATCAAGTAGTTTTTTACGATTGCATATTATTTTTTTGTTTTTATTTAAAACAATATTAAAGCTTTTAAAATGGTTTTTATTTACAAAACTAAATTCTGAATTTTACTAATGTACTAATGTTCTTGTTTTATAAAATATATTTCTTATAAAAATAAAATAATATTACGAATAATGTTACACATTAATAGAATAATAGGTTCTGGAAAACCTGCTTCTTCAGGAGCAGAAGTTAGCTATGTACTACTATAGGGTTGACGAAAAATCTTTGGAGAAAAAAATTGGCTAATATGGATGAAGCAAAACCATTATCATGTTGATAAATTGTATTTTTGAACTGAAAAAATTATTTGTTCTAAACAAATTTTTATTAAATTTAAAATTTCGTGGATCGTATCTGATTAATTGCTTTTATTTAATTTTTCATATAACTTTAACATTTTATCTATAAGAGTACCTATTTGTAAACAAGTTAGATATAGGTATCATATCAGTATAATTAAACTCATTTTTGTATAAATCCTTTAATAATTTATTAAAAAAATTCAATAAATTATGAGAAAAAATTTACAAATGATATAACTGGTCCAATTTTAAAAAATCCATATAATGCTGTATAAGAGTATAGTCCGGAGAAAATTGACGTAATTGCTGTATATTCAATAATTGTTCATCATTTCCTCAGGCTCATTTTCCTTTATAAATCAAGTTTTAAGGTTTACCCTGTGTATACAAATATGCTTAAATATTATTCCAAATAAATGTACCAATGATTCAAAATAATAATAGGAATTGAATTTATCGTTTAATATTTGATTTAAAATATAAATATTTAAATGTGATTAGCAAGGGGGGGAGGGGTGGTTATACCTAGAAAGTATTTATTTAGAAATACTTTTTCATAACCAGAAATATACAATAGAAATTCTATTTTTACAAAAACGTGAATGAAGATCACATCTGAGTCAATCAGTTTTCATTTAAATTTCTCGCATGGATACGTTGATATATTGAAATTATTGATTAATTACAGGCAATTAGTTTGAAGTACTAGGTTATTTCCGAATTTTATCTTCCATTATCTAATTCCTAAGACCGAGCTAGGGCTAATGTGGTTATAACATACTTATATCATTATTCTGTATTTAGCAAAACAAAGATAACAATGTAATTGTGTATTTTTAGAATTTCTTTTTTGTAATACAAATTATAATAACAATAAATATTAATAATATGTTTATGTACAATAATCAAAGGTAAATACAATCTCGTTTATGTATAATAATAATTAACGGCAAATACAAACTCGTTTGCCATTACAATATCCCCCAGTTCTTCCTCTAAACAGGCAGTGAACTCCACAGGCAGCATGATTTAGCTTAACTCCCTTCGCTTCAACGCTAAGTACATCACAGGTGAATCGTTTTACCCGAAAGTGTGCTGAAATAGATACAAATATATTAAAAACCATTAGAAAGTAAATAAAACATAGACACAAGTCAAGCAAAATGAACAATTTAAATTTTATGAAAAAAATAATACAATTATAGAATGCTTAGAGGGCCATTGGTCATAATAAGAAACATTTTTTTGCAGTCGTATTGATATATTTTTTAACGGATTTGGAAAATAGCTATAATTTTTATTTTGTTATTCTAACCTATCTAAAATGTTCTCTGAAAATCGATATTTTCAACTAAAAATAATGGACCAGAGTTTAATTGAACTGAAAGTCGATATACATAACTTATTTTCGAAAGAAAAACAATAGGTATGTTAATCCTTTACTATAGAGTTTTATTTTCTTGTTATTTCATAAAATAGATCTATTGAAACTTCAAATTAATTCATAAATGGTACCTACTTAAAATTAAAAAAACAAATATTTTTGCATCATGAAAATTGAAAGGAGTATAAGTTTTCTCACTTAGTTTGTTCCACTTCATATATTATAAAATGTTTTAAGTTTAATAAACAACAAATTTACTTAATATTGCAATGCAGCTGGATAAAACCTTATACCATAAATTAAAGAGTATATTATAGTATTTGAAGAGGCTGAACTAGTTTAAAAATGGATATAATTTTCATATTCATCTTTTATATTATAAAATGATTTTAAGTTTAATAAAGCAATAAATTTACTTAATATTACTATTATTAAAACATACATACATTAAAAATGAATTTTGTAATTATATGTATAATGATTTAGATTTATTAAAATAATTTCTAGGTAATAAACCGAGTATTACCATTCAGATGGACAAAGTTTTATGACATAAATTAAAAAAAATGTTTGCGAAGAACCATCAATTTAAAAATAAAGTTACTGTTATAATCTTACCATGTTCTTGTTCAACAAGATCTTCAAAGTCAGCTGGCGCGCTGTACACAACGACCATAACGAACGACAAAACGAAAGTAAATGCAATGACAAACTTCATTGTTGCAATTAGTTTGACCGAATTGAAACCAATGTTGTTTTATTACACACCGCTGCTTTTTATAGTCCGTTAATGAACGCGGTACTTTTCATTTTAACATAGAAGAAGTTTTGTTTCTTCCCAGGGATTTACCTTTTCCAACATTACAGTACTTCAAAACTTTATGATGTGTTTTACATTTCTGACTATCGCTATCAGAATGAACCTGACCTATTGACATTCTGCAAAGATAAAAGACTCAAGGAAATTTATGAGGCAAATATAAATATATTTTCTATAAATACTGTTTAAAATTTAGTTAAAAATTCACCACCATGGTTTTTGCTACATTTCTAGTGTCACCTATTTCTTTAAAAGCTCAATGAAATAAGAATGAAAATCCTTATCCTTTATGTTACATAGGGTGTTTCATAACAATACTGTAATGGCAGAACGGAACAACACAAACGATTACAGAATCCTATTTAAAAAAATATTAAGTCGAAATGTTATGTTTAGAGTCATTCGCAGATTTTCACTTCTATTTATTTTGGCTAAAACTTTTGAATCATTTTTGGCAATTCGTTCATTTTTGATATACACTATACAACACTTAAAGTCAGCAAATTCTTGAAATACGGATTAAAAAATTCCGTGACGGTATTATACTGACCGCTGCAATCATTTCATTCGAGGAACATTAAAAGTACCTAATCCAATGATAAAAATTATGATTCAAAACTTTTTCACACTTTCTTTTCTGGTTACATATTTTTTTATCAGTTTTTCACTATTATTGCAGAACTCAGGGCAATTAGATATTGTATTGTAATTGTGTAAGACAATTAATATTGTCATACTCAAGTAAGACATTAATAGAACTGCGACATGTTATTGTAAATTTTACTAACTTAAAAAATCCTAGTGCCGACAACAATTCCTTTGTTCCTTCTAAACACATCTCCAAAAGTCTTGGCCCCTCTTTATAACTTTAATATCAAGTGGCCATTTTTTGTGTATAAATTCTTTAATATCTTAACATACCAGAAAAAATTATTATCCCGGCAGAGCAATATCCAATCGCGAAAACCCTCCTGCAACCCTCCAGGAATTGACTGCAGCTGTTCTAGAAGAGTGGGATAATATGCCTGATTATTCTATTGACAACATGATTCAAGGGATGCCAAGATGCGTTAGCCAATTGATTGAAAGAAGAGGCGATCATACAGACTACTAAGATATGTTTTTTAATGTAACATTATTTTTTTCTCAAAATAAAAAATTTCTAATTTCAATATTTTGCAGCTTTTGCGTAATTGCTTTATTGTCCAATCGTAAATGGGAAAATTACAAAGTTATTGTATTATATATTTTAATATCAAAACAAAAAATAAGATCCATCACATTTTTAAAATTTAAGTTGATTACATATTTCCAAAAATATGTGGTAGACTTTTGTACAATAATAGTTGAAATACTTGTTATGGGAATATCTTATACGAAAGACAAAATCTATTATTTATACGTCAATAAAATATTCTTTTTTTAATTTCTTTTAACGAATTTTCTTTATTAATTTCATAGGCACAGATACAAAAAAAAATTGGACTGGGCCGTGGGCCGGACCAATATATTTCATAGTATTTGAACCCACTATAACCAAATTTAAAGTCAGAATCAGTTCGTTTTGAATCAAGAAACTCCTCTGGAACGGGTTTTCGAGATTTTAAACTGACTGAAGTAGGCAGCGGTAGGAAAAGCATTTATAATTCATAATCTCGTCACATCATAATGTCATAAATAAATAAGTAAGTAAATAAATAAATAAATAAATAAATAAATAAATAAATAAATAAATAAATAACCCTATAAAACCATAACCCCATAATCCCATAATCACGTAACCTGGTTTTTGATCTCCAAAACTCACGATCACTGACTGTACAGTAAACGAATTACTGTTACGTTTTTTCAATATAGATATAAAAAGAAATCAATCAGACTCAAATCTGAGGCATACAGTTTGCATACTCCGGGTAACACAGTTACAATAGGACTACAGATTCAATACTTCAGAGTTTCGTGGTTATACATTCGCACATACCCCGTGTAACAGGGTTACAGGGTTATGGGAAGCCTACGAACCTATAGTCATGTAGTTATGTGATTACGGGGTTATGAAGCTTATAAGGTTATAGTGCAATGAGATCATGTAATTTAATGTTTTTCCAACCACTGACTATTCTAGTCTCAAGTAAATTCTCGAAAACTGCTTTCTAGTTGTTAGGAACAACATACGAAAGGAAATTCTCATTTGCAGTAATAGAATTGTTTCTCGGGTTGTATGGCATGAGTCTTATTGAAACCACATGTCGTCTACTTCTATATCTTGCAATTTAGGTACAAAAAACTGGATTATTATGTGGCGAGCACCAATAACTGTTATTGCCTGACCAGTGGCATTATCGAAGAAGAATGGTCCAATGATGCCTTCAGCTCAAAATCCACACCAAACACTCACACGTGTTCCTCTCAATAATCACTCGTGGATTTTCTGAACCCCAAATGTGACAATTTCAGCATTCACTTCATTCATTTTTAACAATAACTTGTCTCTCGCTATTATGTGCTCGCAAATTTTAAATACAACAAAATGACTGAACAATGCCTGGGTTGACTGCCACGTCGTTGCTTCAAGCTTTTTGACGATGCGAAAGACATATCGCTCTCTTCTTCTAAAGCATGTGTTCTTCTGAAGAACAGAGATATGCCTCTCATAATATTAAAAAACCTAAAGCGATGAGGTAGTAACCAGCCCGAAAATTGCTGTCATTAACAACTGCCATGATATACTGTAAAACAAGCTAAGCACATAAAATGCTCATAACATAAAAACATTTAAATGTATAACAAATTTAATTAATTAAAAAAAAGTTTCTTGGTAAATCTAAAAAATGTCCAATTTAACATCAAACAGAAAATTGGTATAAAAGTTATGTCATTTAAAGCACATCAATTGTGCATTATTTGTCATAAAAGAAATGTTTGACAATATTCAAGTCAGCAGCTCGAAATTTATTTATTTATTACCGCAGAAAATCAAAATAAAACTGTTGTATTAACACAACTTCGTGTTCCTTAATATCAGTTTTTGTATGAAGTAATTTTACAAGTAGGTAGTTAAATGATAATATTTTGGAATTTGGAATTCAAACTCAGTGTATCCACATTTCTGAGGTATATAAAATCAATGTATGGAATAACTGCAATTTCAATTATTTAAAGACTGATACCCATATACATTTTTTTGCAAATCGAATGGTTTTAGAGAACCACATATTTAAAATATTTCAATTGTATAATCTTGTTTTTAAAATAAAAATAATAATAATTATATTAACTTCCATATGGCATAAAGTGCCATATTTTTTTTCTTTGAATCTAATTAATTGAAAATCGAACGCCCCTAGAGCTTTCAATGATAATGCGCCTCTATATATCTGCCATTGATTGCTCAAGTTTCATCAATCTACTTAAAATATATTTAGATATTTGAGATGATGTGATAAACATTTTTTAATTTAACATCATGTGTTTCGTAAACCCAGTGGTTAATACCCTGTTTATTAAAATTGTTAGGTCTAAAATGATGCAAGTGTCACTATCCTGAGTTATTTACTTATTTATTAAAAGAAACAAACAGGGCAAAATTTAATGAAATGTTATACCAATTATATAGGTTATATCACGTTCAAATAGTCAAAAATGAGAATAAGTATAATACAAATTAATAATTAACATTTTTGCCATGTGCCAAATACCAAACTGGCCGCATTGGCCGTTGGCAACAGTAGTTTGTAGATTGCATTCATACATCATACAATTAAATGCAATAATATCTGCAAGTATCAATAAGTGAATTAGATAATGCAATAATCAATCTTTAAAAAAATATATGATGCTATTTTCAGAGCCAGAGTGACCTAAGTTTTAATATGAGATTTCTTGTTCTCTTCCTCCTCCTTCTTCATATTTTGAGTGATGGGGACCCGGGTTTGGGACCGGGACCAGGAAAGTTTAAATAACCCCGTGTGCTGCCTTTGTGACCGCATGCTAGTTTCAGTTTTTTAAAAAAAGGACCAGAGCAGTACTTCGTTCATGGTCGATTCCTCGGAAACTTAGTAAATAAACACAGACATAGGTATCTGCACACGTTCTTGATTTGCGACGTTTTCATTCCATTTTATAACTGCGCGGGTAAAACGTCCTGCAAAACCTAGCGTCTGGACCAGGTTTAATACAAAACCAACTTACCACAATTTCAGTTAATTTGACCTAGCCCACATTTTCCCACAGTGCAGGGTCCTCTTACATAAATTTTCCAGTAGCTGAAAGGACTCCTCCATTACATTTAATATTGGTTAGGTACAGATGTCACAATTACGGCTTTGGGCATATCCAATTAGTAGGTTTACCAGCAAGGAAAATAGAATATACAGGGTGGCCCAATTAAGACAGTCCACTTGAAATATTTTCATTGCAACAGATTTTTCCGGAAAACCCCGAACCCAGGTCGATTTTGCTTTCAAGGGGGACGTCTTTTGACCATAAATTCGTAGATGTAGGGTCATCCCCCTAAACGGGGTGGCAACCCCTTCAAGAATTATCTGTAGAGAAAATTGTAAAAAAATTACGGGCCGAAAACCCCCTTCACCAACCTAAATGGGACGCATATGATTTGCATGTTGAAAAATGGAATAGCCCATGTTATTTAACGTAAAAAGTTATGTAAGACCCATAAATTTTTTTCTATCTATTTGCGACCGTTTTGTCAACAACAGAAAAAAAAACAGTTTTGTTTGAGCCCTTTTAAGGGCATATAACTTCCTAAGGGTGCGTTTTAGGGCACATGTTAATAGGAACTTTTTGGCTTATCTTAATGAGTTATAAACGCAGCAGAAGTTTGGAACCTTATTTTAGAAACACACTGTATGTAGGCAATTTATTTCTATTATAAGAAAGTATTATGTAGGTACTTTTATGGGACGCCAAAATTTCAGTCGCGACTTGCTTTCTCGTGGACCCCCTTTGACATCTCATGCACTCCCAAATTTTGACACGGACTCCTTGAAGTTCGGTGTCGACACCTAGCGGTCGATAAAGACCACT